TTTTCTTCTACCACTCCTTAGAAGCTAATAGTGCTGTATTAGGGCACAATATATTTGATGTAGGAGACAAAATAAAGATTATTTTATGTTTGTTGTAGAACAACAAAGTACACATGTAAACTTTTAACTTCATGGAAACAATAAAAACAAAATTTCCAGTGTCTAAAAATTACAATTTATTTATAGTCAATGCCAAGTTAACCAATGAAAATATGATATTTATTTATAAATAAATGAAATTAAAAAGTGTACCATAACATCTTTAAGAATTTTATGAAATAGTGTAATCATGGAATTATTAGATTAATAGTTTTACAATTCATGTTCCATTTTCACTCTTTTTCACTTGTATTATATTATGTCAATAAAGTCAAATAAATAAATAAATAAATAGAATCATGGTGTTCACATGAACAAATGAAGTTTTTTTTTCCTTTATCACCAGTAGTTTCTTTCAACAAATTCACTTTCTAGAATTTTTTTTATTGTAAGTTATAAATCCACCATCACATCATACTGTTCATGTCCTCTACTGTCCCTGCCCTCTACTTTTAGGAATGAAGAACACTTGTCTTTTTTAAAAAGCAGAATTTTGTTTGAATCATTAGTCTCCGACATCACTGCATGTAGATTGTCCGGTCCTTTGAATGAAACCATATAAACCGAGTTTCAGTGTCGCAGTTCATGTAGGTGTTGGTACGAAAAAGATCTCTCCCTTTTCAAAGGCTTTAGTGCTGAGTACAGGTTAAAATATGCAGCCCTTCACCGGAACGTGTTGGAGTCTTCATATGAATGAATTAGATCTAGATTCTTATGTGCGGTGATGAAGCAATAAAACTGTGGACTGTTCATAGCACTCCATTTCTATAAAAGTACAAAGAAGACAAGATTTATTTATTGATGATTGATCACCTTAATATTATTATTTTTTTTAATCTCCCACAATTTTAATTTGGGAAAAACACAAACATTAATTATTTATAGCATATATAATTACTGTACTTTCATCAATATTCGTTGAGCACCAATTTTCGAGGATTTCCTTGTTAAAAAGATCCAAGAATTCCAATGTTCATTGAATTAAGAAATATGCTATTCATTTGTATCGGCAATGCTTTTGTCCATGAAATTATGTATCCTCGAAAACGCCTGTTTAATAAAATCCATGAAAATTGATGCCGACGAAAATTGATGAAACCACAGTATATAGACTTCCTATTGATTAAAGTTTGTGTATTTAATTGAATTGAGATCTTATTTGCAAGGGTATAAATGGATTCAAGTACATTTAAAAAATAAATTCTACATACAGGACATACTAGCTGCAGATCTGTAGCTCTCCGAAAAAAATATATTGATAAACCGGAGAGATACAGTGCCACCCTTTGAAAAAACTGTATATTTATTGCGCACAAAAAAATGCGCTTGGTTCTCAAATTATTTCTCCATGTTTTTAAAACTGTAATCTCAACATATTACTGACCATGAGTTCCTATTTAAACATATTCTTTTGCTGTTTCCACAACCAAACATTGATCCTCATAATTGTTGTTAATAGTCCTCCTGAACCTGATATTGTAGTCATCGAACATTTTGCTTATTTATACTGCCATTTTGGTTTCAAAGATAATTCGGTCTAATATGCTTCGTTAAGATGTCAACCACGAGAGTACTTGATTGAGGATAAAGGAATATTTTTAAATCTTTCTTTTTGCAATTTAGGTAAAAATTTGGAAGAATTCATCAAGAACCGAGCACACTTTTTATGTGCAATAAATATACAGTTGTTTCAATGGGTGGCACTGTAGCTCTCCAGTCTATCAATATATTTTTTTTCGGAGAGCTACAGATCTGCAGCTTAGGACATACAAACTACTTTGTATACACAATTTTCCACTATGAAGATGCTATTCATCAAACAAGGAAAAGAATATGTATAGTGAAAAGTTTTAAAATAAATGTAGGCATATTTTCAAGGACAGATCCTCTCTCCTATATATCATAATTATTTTAGCTATTTCAAAATGATTTTTTGTACATACACAAATTCATTTTTCTGCACAAGTTTTTATAAAGTTAAGAACTTTCGCATTAAAAAAATATTTACACCAGATTCATTAACATAAAATCAACTATTGCATTGGATTAATTATTAGGTTTTGTTCATTACACCTCAGTCTATGATTAATTGCTTGCAGATAATCTCGTCAAAGGCACTGCGACTTTTATTTCTGACTTCCGTAAATTTAGAGGAAATTCGGATTGAAAAACTTCGTAGCATGTGTATGCCCATAAAACCCAACGGAATTTTGTAATAATTAGTCATACTCACAATATCATACTTTTATTGTATTGTTTAACTGATTTTTCATGTGCATGCCTAACTACTTACCCCTTTATCACCGATCTCAATATCAGCAATCCGTGGCGTGGCCTCACCAGTAGACTCCATAGCGTTTCCGTTTGGTGATCAGCTGATTCAGATTTGAAAATATCACGGGGTTATTGCTGTTGAATTAATTTAATAATAATCTTAGAATTATATTGGCCAATTTGTCTGCAAGAAATACATTCTTTGTATTTATTTCCGACTGAAATAGGAATGTCTATTTTGCGGTTTCGTTTTGTGAAAATCAAATCTGTAGTTTTAGTAAACCAGGATAATCCTGATTTTAAGTAGGTCAATGCTGGTTTTTAAATAGGTCAATGCTAGTTCTATCCTTTGCTTGCTGATGCTGATCCAAGTAATGCTGTTTTTTTAAATGCTGATGCTGATGCTAGCTCTATCCTGATCCTACTTATGCTGATCCTGATGCTGGTTTATGTAACAAAATTAGTTCCCTGCACTGTAATCCGACAACCAAAATCTATGATAACATGCTGGCTTTCACTTTACAATTGTCAACTTTCTTTACTTATACAGCAATATACCTTCATCACCTGAATACGGAGGGTATATTTCTCAGTTTATTGGATATGCAAGACCATGCTCTATGCATAAATAGTTTCTAAAACGAGGTATATTGTTGACAAACAAGTTAATGAAACAAGAATATCAAGAGTCTCGTTTGTTAAAGTCATTGTTCACTGTTATATATATTTGTTTAAAACATTCAGTATACATGTAATGCGCCTTGCGATCGGTTTACAATGGTTTTCTTGGGGTGAAATTTTTCAATTTTACACTCAACTACATGTTATATTTATATTAAAGTCTTTAATGAGATAAACTTTTCCTTATATATTCTATTCTAAATAAAACACATAAATACCAATTATTAATAAAGTATAATGTTTTAACTGTAAATCGTTTTTAAATTGAAAACAAAAAAATTGTTGTCCTTTTTTGTCTATAAACTTATGCCCCTAATGCCCCATCCCTCTCCGTGAAACACAATGCATTTCAGCATGAGTTTGTGAAATGGCAGTCTATATAACCTGAATAAAGGGTTTTTTGTTTCCTAGGGGTTATTTTTTTATCGCGTTTTCCATTGACTTCTAAAGTGAAAACGCAAGTTTTACCAAAACCATGCAATTATCTCTCTTTGTTTTCATAAATGAGTGATGTTTTCAATGAAAATCCATAAAAAAATATCGATATAAATATTAACTTTTGAAAATTTCCCTGGAGGTAGGCGGGAGAACATTCACAGTTCTTTCACATATTTATATAAAGGCAAAATACGACACGAAATCAATAAAAATATTCAACGATACCAAAAATTAAACATTAAAAACATTAATAAACTACACAAACAATCGTTCAAAGAATATCTTGAGAAAAAATTAAAACCATATATATAGATGCAAAACAATTGCAACACAACTATGAATAAATACATATAAGGCAATTAATTCATAAAGCATAAACTAAATCCCTTTCATGCATATTTTACTTCAATTAATAACGAAATAAAATTATATAAGAACTTGCACACTCTTCATATTCAATCTTCTAAATAAAGTATTTGAATATACAACAATAATTTAGGTCTAAATGATTTTGACATATCTTTAGAGCTATAAATGTCAAATCGATTTATTTTAACTTTCTTGTTTATATAAACAAATGAAATCTTAGTTAATAGCATTCGAAAACTGTACGGCATAATAAATTAAAGAATATTTGCAGGAATATGATTTTAAAAGATCATTTTTAATTATTGATTACAATATATCTTTTTTTTTTAAAACGGGGGTACATTATTTTCATAACATTTTTCAAGTCTCCATAATTTTGAATTCTCTTAAAAAGCATACTGATGACAGATCTGGTACTGAATCATTTGAGGAACATGCGAACATTTTACAATTCTAGTCCCATACATATTTGCATAATAAAGATCTATGTTGTACATAAAACAGAGTAATATATGAAAAGGTAAAGATAATAAACGTTGATCAAATGAAACTTCGTAAAAAAATCTAATAAGGCTCTTTGGATCTAAAGTAGTACAGTTTTGCATGAAAAAAAATGCAAGCGTTCCTTGAGTGTAAAGATAAAACTACATAAAAATTTTTAATATTTGAAACTGTTCATTTACCTAGACATTTGATCTTACCTTTGGATATTTCGGGTATTTTTGTTCCTGAAATGTTCTCTATTTTATATGTATAATGGATTCTAAGGTAAATCACTGTTCGCTATCTTCGTCTATGATTTTCTTCTTTCTTTTCATGCATGGATGCTAGGGGAAAATCACATTTCAATGTAAGTGTAAGTAATCTAAACGTTTTTATCTATCACATTTTAGGGAAGACTTTTGTTTCACTATATGAATGTTTCTCAATCAATAGTTTTACTATTTTAACAAGCAACACTGCAGATATCTTTGACAACAACTAAGCATAAAATGAAAATACTAGATTTGTCAGAATTGATGAGGATTTAAGAAGGTTCCTAATAGCTGGTAACACTGTTCTCTCAAAATATAAATCAAAATGGTCTATGTCACACATTGTTTACCAGACGCAATAAAATTGTTTATCACTGATTTACCTCAATTATCTTTTACTATTTGAACATTGCCTCCCCAGGCTGCTAACAAGTCTTGGTGATTTGTTGATAAAAACCCACAAACATCATGTTTACCATTTAGGCAAGCAATATGCAATATACTTTCACCAACATTTGACAAAACATTGATGTCCAATCCTTTTTTTAATAGAAAAGAAATTATATCTACACTTCCACCACTGCAAGCTGAATGTAACACTGTCCATCCGTCATTGTCCCTTATCTCTAATAAATCTGGAAAATGGTTGACCAGATACTCACACATCTCTATTTTACCAGAGCGGCAGCATTGATGTAAAACTGTTTCACCCTCTTCCTGTATGACATTGATGTCCATCTTTTTCTCAATCAATAGTTTTACTATTTGAACATTGCCTCCCCAGGCTGCATCATGCAACACTGAGTTACTAGATTTATCCCTGACGTCTGACAGATTGGGATAATTCTCAATTAAATACTCACAAACTTCAAACTTCCCATTGAGACAAGCTATATGCAGGATACTTCTACCATCATTTGACAAGATATTAATGTCCATTCCTTTTTCTATAAGAAAAGAAACAATTTCTACACTTCCACCACAGCAAGCTGAATGTAACACTGTCCACCCCTCAGTGTCCCTTATCGCCAATAAATCTGGAAAATTATCGACCAAATGTTCACACATCTCCATTTTACCAAAACGACAGCATTGATGTAAAATTGTTTCACCACCTTTCTGTACAGAATAGATGTCCATCTTTTTCTCAATCAATAGTTTTACTATTTGAACATTGCCTCCCCAGGCTGCAGCATGCAATGCTGTATTACTAGATTTGTCCCTGACGTCTAATAGATGGGAATAATTCTCAACTAAGTACTCACAAATTTCATGTTTCCCATTGAGACAAGCTATATGCAGAATAGTTTTACCATCATTTGACAAGGTATTAATGTCCATTTCTTTTTCTATAAGAAAAGACACAATTTCTACACTTCCACCAAAGCAAGCTGAATGTAACACTGTCCATCTGTTATTATCTGTAATCGATATTAAACTTGGATACATATTCACAAGATACCTACACATTTCCTCTCTACCCCCATTACAACTCATGTGTAACACAGTCTTCCCAGTATTTGTTGTACAGTTAACATTTAATCCTTTACTTGAGAGAAACTTAAAAAGATCTACGTTGCCTCCTACAGCTGCGGAGTGGAGGACATTTGCCCCATCATTGTCACAGACATCCAGTAATTGTGGGTATCTTCTCAACAGATATTTACACATATCATAATGTCCATTTTCGCATGCAAAGTGCAGGATAGATTCACCTGAATTATCTTTTCCATCTACTTGTGGTTTAACTGCTCTTGATAAATGTAATATATTTTCATTCTCAAAGATGTCTAGTATGTATTCAAACATATCTATGTTTCCACTGAAAGCTGCCCAATGCAAAAGACTTTTTCCATGAATATCTGTGTGTTCCTGGAGTAATGCAGGATATTTATCAACAAGGTATTTCACCATATCTGTTCTTCCTTTCTGACAAGCACAAGTAAGAACCGTGTGACCATTGTCTCGATCTTTTTCATATGGATCAAAGCCAAACTTTAACAGAAGATTAAATGCATGTTTGTCTCCAGAACTTGCTGCAGACTGTAAAGAGTTGGAGCCCTGGCAGTCCATTATATCTACAAGGAATGGATATTTTGCTAGAACTTGTTCAATTAATTGTGTTTGTTGCATAAAACATATTTCCTTCAGTAAGCTATGTCTTATATGACTCCAGGTAGGATGTAAGGAATGGGAAATTTGATGAAGATCAACAAACTCACAAACTCGGAGCAATAACTCTATATTGCCACTTTGTACAGCATAAAAACATGTTTGAAGATCACATTCCACATCAGATGACAAAATGAGATTAACAATATTTGGTTGATTTTTTGAGCAAGCAGCGTTAATTGATCTGTATCTTTGTCTTTTTTCTGAATTCGGAAGTAAATATTCAACCCACCGCTTATTTCCCACCTTCGAAAAGTGAACAATCATTGAGTCACCGTTGGTATCACGGCAAGTTTTAAACTTCAAAGTGCATTCTTCAGATAGTAATACGTGCTCATGGAAGTTTGAATCATTCCATAATTCCAGTGATGATATGGAGGAATATCCAATTACAGACCTTTCTCTAATTATATTTGCAATGCGGCGGGCAACATATTTAAACAATCGTTGTTCTATGAGGACTTGTGTACTTTTGGGGTTTGTACATGTCGTCAATGTAAGAAGTAGGGACGGATGACACATTTGGATCATTTTTATTGGATCAAAATTAAACAAAACACTAAAGAGACACTCCTGTACTGAACTATGGGAAAATTTGTATGCATTTTCTATCTTGTCACGAGTTATTAAAAAACCCTCAAAACAAAAAATACTGTCCTGGAAATCGTTAAGATACGAGCTATGTAGCCCTACAAATTCTAAAGAGTCGCGCTTCATCTCTAAATCCATTCGGGGATTTTCAATTAATTCGAACTCTACTTTTCCTCCATTCAGAAGAAGATAAACTAAAACAGCAGATTTTACAGTTCGTTTTTTCAATAATGTTTTGAAGTGGTTCTCTCATAAACATCATTGCATTTTGTAAAAATGCAATTACGTTTCGTTTAAATTCTCCATTGCTTTTTGTTAATTTACAACATTGTGGAAACCCTATAGCTAGTGGCATTTCATATACCTTATGAATAAGTTCTTTGTCTTCTATGTATTCAGAGAGCCCATATTTTTCTGATAGCTGCAGGATCTCCTCCTTGAGCAATGCATTTTCTTTGCCTGATAGGTCAACCAAGGATGACATAAAAAAATCGTCATTGCACTCGTTTTGTAAGCATTGATATATATCATTTCTTAAAGCAAATATCAATCTGTTAGATTTATTATCAGTGTCACTTTCAATTAAAACCTTTATCATATCTGATCTAGCTTTGAATTCCTGAACGTCATCGCTGGACAAAGAAAACTCACCAAATAAATTGTCAATAAATACCACTATACCATCACCCGGTGATATGTTTTCATACAAGTCTGTTAACTTGTAAAGCTTTAGAGGAGATTTTCCATCATCCATCAATTCTTTCATCAACATCTTGGCGATCGTGGTTTTTCCAGTTCCAGGGTTGCCCTTGATGACGATATACCCGTTACTGTCCAACAGTTCCTTCGCTCTGTCAAACGCACGGGTTTTTACGAATAGATGACTAATAGCTTCATAATGTTTTTGTATCATTTTCTTAGTTGATTCTGAAAAGAAATGATAGTTATCTTTAAGGAACATGGACTTAATGTCTCTAAGATTTAAGAATTTGTTTACTTATCAATTAACGGCGATATGCTCAATGAAACATGAATAATTGTATTGTTGCTTGAACTCAAGGGTGTTTGAGCGTCAAAGATAATTAATCATTTTGGACTACAGGATTAATATTGTATACAAGAGACACATGGGCCACATCGCTCACCTTGTCACTGTGCCTAGGAAAAAAAAATTCAGTAAATGCTTAAGTGGTCCGGATCCCAAAAGGGGGGTATGATTTGAACAAACTGACCAAGGTTGAATGAATACAAACTAAGGACGCTTACATATTTGTTTGACGAACTGCGGCTTCTCCCTATTAGTTTAAATTTTATTGTGGTCTTACCCAACCGGGGGTTAGTATGTGTGCGTCATGATTGTAACAATTCTGCATCTAAACTACCCGAGGATGCTTCCATCTAAACAAGACCAATCATTATTTTGTTGTTCTTGAGAAGATTTTTCATATATAGAGTACTCCTATGTAAATTTTGTGATCGTCCATAGTGGCCCCAGCCTGCCCCCGGGAGTCATGATTTGATCAATTTTGAATCTTCACTACAACATTGATGCGTCTATATAAATATGACCAATTATGTCTTTGCTGTTCTCAAAAAAGTGTTCTTAAAGATTTTTTTTCATTTATATATCTATGTAAAACTTTGATCGGTCATTGTTGCCCAGCCCTAGCCCCGGGGGTCATAATTTGAACAATCATGAATCTACACTACCTGAGTATGCTTCTCAAGAAGATTTTTAAAGATGTTTCCTTTATATCCCTGTGATCGCCCATTGTGGCCCCACCCAACCCCTAAGGGTCATGATTTAAATAAACTTGATTGACACTACCTGAGGATGTTTCCACATAAGTTTCATCTTTCCTGTTCGAGTGGTTCTTGAGATGAAGATTTTGAGAATTGCATTTTTTCAGAAATTCTTAACTAAATCTCCCTGAAATGGGGCATGGTCCTTCATTTTAACACATTTGTGAAAAGTTTACAGAGGGACAGACAAAAAGACGCCGGACAAAATGTTTTCAGAAAAGATCACTTGCTGGTGTTACAATCATCTAATAATAAATTTCACAGAACTCACACAAATCATCAATGATATATAAATCAACAAATTCATAAAAAAAATTTAAGAAAATAAATCCTCCACACTTTTCAATGTGTATGTTAATGAAAGGAACACAGATATTAATTTCTTTCATTATGCCATTAAGGTTCTAATTTCGTAAGGAATCTTATCTAGGCCTTTAAGACCAGGAATTTTTCCATAACATAAACAAACATGCATTATTAACATACTAAATTCTGTTGTCTCTTGTTACCAGTAGGCATCCTTGAATATCTAAATATGAAATATCCAACTATTTATTTAATATCTATTTTATCTTAATATTATCGTACCGATCTTTCTTGCAACTCTTGGATCTACAAAAAAAAAATTTTTAATAGAAGTTATTTTTCAAAATAAATTCATCCGAAAATTTATAACGGACTGAAGACAGTGAGTTTGTTTGATTAAAGGATGTATTGAGAGATGGGAATGCTTTATATCTTTTTAAAAACTTAAGCATAATTGTCGCATTTTTTCATTTCATGAAATCCTATTTATCGTGCATCACCTATCTGCTTTGTAGTATCAATAAAACTATTCATTGTTTAAAAATTAACACTGTGGCAAACTGAATTTCCTGTATTAATCATCATTTATACGATCATCATTATACTTATATGAGATTTTTACCATGAAGCACCAATTCTCTTTGCATAATCAGCACATTACCTAAAAACAGGAATAGATAAAATTAATCTATAGTTAGATTTTTAAAATATTTTACATATTTGAACATCTGATAATGATCAATCTGTTGATATATTTATTAAGAATTATTATAAGTTATGTCTAAAATCTTGGATATTTCCCTAGCCCTGTCTAAATCCATTAAAATATTCCGAGTAAAATGATGCAAGAATCATTAAGCCAGAAATGACATGAAGGCTTATAATTACTTACTCGAAAGATCATCCACAGATGTATGAAGTTCTCTGATATCTCCAAGTAAGTCTATGTATTTCTTCTCTTGTTCTGGGTCCATAAAGCAGGTTTTTATTGCGTTGACTGCATCCTGGTAAACCGTATTGGTTCCTAGGTGTCGCTCTAGCTCCACTACAATGTCCCGGATGTTTCGCCATTCCTGTCTAAATTCTGAATCGGATAGGGACAGATCAGCTGAATGACCGTAATACTGGTTCCTTAGAAGGCGAATTCTTTCAATGTTGGCGGAAACGCTTCTGTCTCCGGGATTAGGTATTTCTCCCCAACCTTTGGAATGTTGTGATATTTTACTTATATTGCGTAGAAGTAAATATAATAGAGATATGTCTAAGTCTGAATAATCACCACTGTATTGATTTGTTGGTTTGGGGAAAATGATCTCTGATTGTGTTTTGTTGAGTGGATTTCTTTGTCCATGTAGAAGTTTATCTGTAAATTCTTTAACTTTTCTGGACAAATCAGAGGGTTTTACTTCAGTCTTTAGAATGTCACGTAACACATCAGTACATGGACCCAGTATAAGCCTCGCCAGTCGAGCAGTGTTTGTTGTTTCTGGTGTTGATATGTAACACTTGGATAAAGACATAATGTGGATGCCTTCAATACGTTTAATTTATTTGTGAAGTGTTAGGACTCTGTCTTTGTCTTAAAATGTCTAAAATTAAAAGAATTATCATAATAAGTTGCAATAACTCAAAAAATGATTTATTGTTTATTTTCCTAAGCAAATGTTACAATATATGTGGTCAATTTGCAACAGACTGATATTTACCAATCCATTTCGTTTCTGAGCTTAACATGTTGTGTGGCTTTGCACTTTTATGAGTCTACGAGGGTTGATCCGAATTTAATATAAAAAAAAATTAAACTCGAACACCGTCAAAGGAATTTTACATACAAATATCCAAACGAATAATTTTTTTTTAATAATTTTTAAAACGTTTTATGATGCATTTCAATAACTTAAGTTTTTCATTATATATCCTTGATTTCTTTTTCTTAAGTGTTAACAGAATATTTCCTTTTGTAGCTCAAATTCTCTAGATGCTTGATGTTCAATAATGAAGGATAAGGAGATAACGAACAGTATTGTATATCAAAGTCCATAAAACAATACAAAATAGGAGCAGAGCAAACACAGACCTCAAAAACATCAGAGGTGGGATACCATGGAGGAGTGAGCATACCCTGCCAACCGGTCACACAAGCCGTGTGCTCATTGTCATGATCGGGAAAGAACGGATAAAATTTGTAGTCGTCAATGTATAAATAATGGTCGAATAATTAATATGAAAAACGTCAGCATTTGACTCAATGATTAATTGTATTTGCTGACAAGGTTTTTGAATCGACCATAGAACTTACGAAATTATGTCTTTAAACGAGACTGCTGATATTCTTGTATGTCAATAATTTACCTCGTTTTAGAAACTGGTTATACATAGAGCATATTCCTGCATTTCAAATCAACTGAGATATATAAACACCATATACAGGCGATGAAGGTATTTTGCTGCATAAGTAAGGGAAGTTGAGGATAGAAAATTTAAGGTTGTTTCGTTTATCATAAAGATTGGGTGTTAGATTAACATTAACGTCATTTACAAATATAAAAAGTATGAAGCAGAAGTGTCAGACTCGGTGATATCTTTTGTCTCAAGCTCCCTACTATATATTGTATCCACATAGGAATGGAATTTGCCATTGTTAATTGACAATGAGTCGTCAATATATCTAAATGTTGAGTTGAAGGCTACTATATATTTTTTTTCTTTTTACGCATAAGATTTTGCATATTTTCTGCTTCATATGAATACAACATTAGGTCTGTACTTATAAAAGAGCGCAAGTGGTACCCATTGGAATCCCAATAGATTGTTGGAAGACATTGTCACCAAAAACCACATAGATATTGTAAATCAGGAACTCAAGCATCTTCTTGATATCAACTTCAGAGTGCTTGTGTGTACAATCAGAATGTGTTTTAACTTAATAATTTTGCAATTGACATATGACCATTTATCTTGGTTTACGACTTCCATTTTTTAAAAAAAAAAAACCACTGTGATGATATCAGAAAGCCTGAAATTTAATATATCATGGGGAATGGTTGTTTATAAAGTTAAAAAGTCGTAAGATTTTATGCAGTTGATTTTTGTAAAATATTGTGATTTTTGAATTGTCCAAAAGTTCTTGGAATTTTTAAGTATCTGATTCACGCCACTTCTTGAATGTATTTTGGCACTTAACTCTTGACGTCTCTCCTTCACTAGTGTCAATATCTTAGTGGGAAGTAAAGAAAAAGGCTTCGTGACAGTTGAACATTTACTGGAACTCCCAATGTATCTTTTTTGTAAGGATTCCTATGAAGTTTCCGAATCCAATATATATCTGATCAAAATAATTTTGTTTGTTCGGGGTATTAGACATATTCAAAACTGATAGGTGATTTTGAAGAACTTTTTCATGAGGAAGGGAAGTATGAGTAGAATATGAATTACCACTTGTAAAATTCAAATTTCTTCAAAAATACAATTTATATAATGGGCCTTACAAATGAAGACAATGTTGTTACCTGCTTTTGTCATCAGGGACTAGTAATCTAACTTATTCGTTTTTCTTGTAATTCATTTACTTGTTTAATTTATGTAATTATCTATTTGCAGTCTTTAGATATCTTAATTTTTACTTTATTTCGGGTTAACGTTGAAATGTCTTTATATGTGGTATTTGTCTACGTGTATTGTTTGTATGAGTGTTGTGAGCGTGTTTTTCTAGGTTTTTTTTTCTTTATATCCACTAATGAATAATTATACATCAGAACACGTTTTGTACTATTCTACAAACAAGACCATATTCCTGTGACAAAATCTTTGTACTTTTTTTAAAGATTATCTTTTTAAACAATCTGTTAAAATCCATGAATACCATGTATTTGTGTTCATCTACGACGGGATGTATTGATTTTTTTATGTGAAGAGCAAAACAATTGATTTGGCAATCAACTTTATATTTCGATATATTGACGACTTTTCATCAACTAACAATTAATACTACCATTCATATGCTAGTCTATATATACCAAGGAGCTTATGAGAAAAGGAACAAGAAGAAAAATTATGAAACATCTTTTTCATATGTGTATATTTTACATGTATATTAATAAAATGCTAGCATTTTTAAAATAAACGTAATGGCTTAAATTTGAAATTATCAATTCAGTAAACAAAAATTAAAACAAATGAAATATATGGAAATAACGAACAGTACTTTAGCTCAAAAATCCATGAAACATTTCAAAATAATAACAGAACAGTTACAGGCTTCAAAAATCAAAGACGGGATCAAGTTTCATGGAAGAGTAATATTATACAATTAATTACCCCGTTTGAGGTCATCATGGTGAAATAAGGACGCGAGACCTGGCCCACGAGGTGACCTGATCTGACCGATTCCGCTTAGCGCCTGAGGTCATGGCAGGTCATCGAGTGGGCCAGGTCAACTCCGTCTGTCTGTCTTTGACTTGAAAATTATTTATTTCCAATTTTTCTAGCAACATCAAATTTTATGGTATACCCAGTACCACAATAAACCTACACAGAAACAAATAGCCAAACTACAACCTCGGAAAAAGGACATTGTATTAACCGCTTCTTGGCAAACGCACTCACCACTGCAAAGTAACACAAGGATCTTTTCAGTGGTGCCCCAAAAAACCTATATAGGTACCATCAGCTACCTATCATGTTAAACTTCTTGTAATTAATCTTTTTTTCATTATTTTCATGTACATACTTTATTATACCCCCGCTTGAAAAGTATATATAGTAATCATTGTCAGAACTTTATTACATATTGTTCTTCTTATACCACTGAGTGAAATTTATTGAATTATATTCACAGAACTTTATTACATATTGTCATTGTGCACCTTCTATTTTACTTTTTGATCTGACACATATTTTGGGTTTCCCGGCCACAACAAAACATGGATTTTTCCATTATAATCATATGGGAGGCTGGGTATCATTTAATGAGCTCATTGCTCAAAGTACCTCTAGTTTTTAATTATTTTACAAAAATATCACATGATAAAATAATGTTATATTTCGTGGAACGAAAGGCACGAAAGACACACACTGCAGGACATTCTCTACACATTGCACAATAAGTCCTACTCACCACTCCAACTCACCACTCCCCTGATTGATTAGAATCTTAAGCTGTACTCCCTTCAGAAATATGTAGGCATCACATTCTTGGATCTCAGAGTCCTTCCTTGTATAAAGCTGATATTGCGCATGCGTGGAACAAATCAAATTATCATTTATATGGATATTGTTTGCAAGCCAGAGTGCAGTATGAAGCAATATTCAACACAGCAATAAACTCCCCGTTTCAGTGTGTCTCCTCATGTACGTTCGTCGCTTCGTTTTATAAAGTATAAGTGTGAACATCCGTTAATTTCTACGTCAAGTATTTTGAACTGTTGACAAGCAATACATGGTATGTAAAACATCATTTATCCTTTCCTGTTACTCAAACACTTAAACAAAAATCACACAATATCTTTTTTCAACTCTTTAATATTTATCAAATATATATTGTCTTTTCCTTTTGTCTTTATCTATATTTTTATTTGCCTCTGTGAGTACACACTTTAAACTAGATTATAATGTACATCATCTTCTATTAATGACAGATAGTATTCATCTTTTCCCCCTTCAAGTGTACCTAGACTTATCATTCACTTAAAATACAATTACATGTAACAACGATAACAAATATACGTAGATACATTTTCCCCTTGCATCAGCTTAATACGGTTCAGTGTATCGTTTTCTACAAATTATATTGCTAAAACAACATATCTTTATAACTGATGACTAACTTCCTGATACAAGTCATATTTCAAAACCCTTTTACATGAAATGATTCATTGTATGAATTGTGCAGAATGTCTCTAAATACTAAAGTAAGAATGATAACTCGCCACGGTCTACTTACGTATGTGTAGAGAACATGTAATGGTTAAGGGCCTTGTCTGCTAGACGCAATAGTGTTAACATAAAGGTTGCGTAAATGTAAGGTCAGCAATACTGTAAATTCCTAATTATACGCGAGGAATTAATTTCCGCGTAATTTCGCGAGAAGCGTCACTCGCGAAAAAATATTACTCGCTTTTATTTTTATGGTGCTGAAATCTACGAAAATTCTGTTGATCAACCGTCCCTTCGCGAATTATAATTCTTGCGATTTGACGCAAAAGACCCAGTTCGCGATAAAAAGTACTCGCGAAAAATAAGGAATCCTCAGTATTTAGGAAATAGCTGTATATAGTGAAAGATCAATGATCGCTGCTGACATCGAATAACCTAATTATTTAATTAGTTAACACTATTTGAAGTCAAAAGCTGCGATATCGCCTGTCTTTGTTTACCCAACTCCACAGCAATATCGGGTTCAAAAGGGAAATGCAGTTTTAGGCCAATCTGTAGTTTTCAAAACCTTATTCACATCAAAAGAAGATTTTTTTATAAATCTCGTGATTGAAAAATATTTTGCTCTTGTAAAACGGTAAAAACTATTGTCCTCTGACCTCCTAAATAACATTCACACAGAATTGAACGTATTATCCCTTCAATAGGTTCATCTCAGAAAAGAAAAAAAAAAATATTTGTAAATATAACAAAATAAGCAATACTAATGAAATCAATAATTAAATATAAAATATAATTTCGTCACATTGCATACAGGATATTGTTCTCTGGGTCTGGTTTAAGCTTAGTGAAGGCGACTTCAGGGTACATGTACTACCATCACGTGTTGTCAACTAGATTTGTTAAAACAATTACATTACTACACCGTTTTCAAGTACACCCAGTCTGAATTTATGCATCTAAGGAATCTATTGCACCTCGACATGATGAGTTGTTGTTTGTTCACTACTGTAAATGAAAATGTCAAAGTTGGGTGTTTGTACCGAAGAGATACTCGTGTATCTGAAAGGTTGTATAATGAGGAGACTGTCCTCGACGCTCCATTAGATTTAGTCTGAGCAGTTCAATATAATCTGCAAATATTAAAATCATCGTTGACAATACATCAACATAATCTATAAAGATTACAATCATTTACAATTCATCAACATTTCAACATAATCTATAAATATTTAAATCGATGTTGACAATACATCAACAGTTCAAAATAATCTTTAAATATCTAGATCAATGTTGACAAAACAATTATTGTAATTTCTAAAATAATAAAATACGCACTTAAATACATGATCTTATTCAAGAAGGATATGGAAATAACGAACAGTATTCAATCTCAACGACAAATACACAAAACAAGAGCAGAGCAAATATTTGAAACATCAGAGGTGGGATCAGGTGCCATGGAGGAGTGAGCATCCCCTGCTGACCGGTCACACCCGCCGTGTGCTCGTTGTCATAATCAGGATATAACGGAAAAAATCCGTGGTCAATTCAGTGTATAAATAATGGACTAACAATTGGTATGAAAAACGTCAGTAATTTCATTCAATGATAAATTGTATTTGCTGACAAGGTCATTGTATCGACCATAGAATTTACGAAATGATGACTTCAAAAGACCGCTGATATTCTTGTTTCATCAACTTGCTTGTCAGTAATTTACTTCGTTTAAGAAATTGTTCATACGTAGAGCATGCTCTTGCGTATCGAATCAACTGAGATATAAATACTCCGTATGCAGGTGATGAAGGTAAATTGCTGTATAAGTAAGGGAAGTTGACGATTTAAAGTTAAAGTCATCACGTTTATCATATAGCTTGGTTGTTAGATTACCATTAGTGTCTTTTTCAAGACTAAGGTTATGAACCAGAAGTTCGGACTCTGTGGTATCTTTTATTTCAAAGACTCACCAGGATATATCGTGTCGACGTAGGAATGGAAATTATCATTATTAATGGACAATATGTCGTCGATATATCTAAATGTCGAGTTGAAGGCCACAGCAAGTGTTTTCTTCTTTTCACGTAAAAGATTTTGCATAAATTCTGCTTCATATGAATATAAAAATAAATCTGCTATTAACGGAGCGCAATTTGTACCCATGGGAATTCCAATAGATTGTTGGAATACCTGGTCTTCAAAAACCACATAGATATTGTCAATCAGAAACTCAAGCATCTTCTTGATGTCAACTTCAGAGTACTTATGTGTGCAATAAGAATCTGTTTTAACAAAATAATTTTTCAAATGACCAATGACGAGGTAAGTAAACTTACGAGTTCCATTTTTGTTGAAGAAGCAGCTGTCAATGATATCAAAAAAATGTCACTGAACAAATAACTTTTTATTGATCTTATTGAATATATAATGACATAGATTTTTATTTTTGTGTCTGTTTGGTTATATTTGACTAACATATTTATTAAGTAAATGTACAATGTTTGTTTGGGTTTTGTGAGGTTTGACTACAGCACGCTCCTCTTTATTTACCTAAAAATAACTGAGCCGTCATGAGGCTATACATGCTATTTTAGATGCTAACTGTCTTTCATAAAATTAGGTAAAAGAATTCCTAATCAATAAGTTTGTCATAATTATAAGTTCTTCAGTAGTTTTACAAAGTAGCATAGTGACAAACGCTAAAATGTGGTATTGTACCTTTTAAAATTTGGTATTATGTCTTCTTCTGCCAATACTTGTCTTTATGTTCTCCATGTTTACAACTTTTCAATTGGTTGACAATATGTCGGGTCAGGAATGGCCACTTCTGCTTCTTTAGGTTCACAAAAGACAGCTGTCTGGTAGCATTGGTTTACTTCGACTCAAACCAAAGGACTGATGTTTTCACTTTTTCAATTGCTGCAGCTCCTATCCAATGTCTAAATAGTCGTCGACACTGATACGTTTAGGTACTGAATGCTACTTATTCTTTTTTTAAAAGACAAAAACAGTTTATGCACAAATTTCATAGCACTTTGTAATTTACTTTTAACCATGTGAAAGACATGATTTTTGCCTAGGTGCTTCGTTCACATTATTAATAATTATATTGTTCAATCATCAAGTATCTGTGTGCAACAAGTTATTGGAAACGACTAACTGCGCCATTATTTTTTTTTAGAAGTCTGCAATTCAATTCTCAAACTCTATATGATTGACCAAGACAACCATTCAGGGCCTTCCATACGAACTCTATTAACCGTAAACCCCAGATAACCAGTAAATCATCTATAGTACAATCTAAGAAAACCGGTAAATCATCTATAGTACAAACACAGACAACCAGTAAATTATCAACACTATGAACCTAGACAACTGACTGACGAGCAGAGGAAACACTGACTTATAAAACTGAGATTAGATCAGGTTCCGTCGAGAAGTTAGCATCCCATGTCGACCGGTCACACTTGCCGTGTGGTCTTTGTCCTGAATTGGAAAAAAATTGAAAGAAATACGTCGTTAATTTAGCTTATAAATAACGGAATAACAATAAGTGTGAATGACGTCAGTCAGCATTTGACTGATTGATAAATTGTAGTTGATGACAAAGTCATCATATCGACCTTAGAACATACATGTACGGAATTATACTTTAAACTTGAATGTTGATGATATCTAAACAATAAAAGTTGTGGGTGTAATAAAAGTTAACTGTAATAAAATACGAATAATGATAATTGAGGGGTGGAGTAAAGATATATTGTAACATATGTAGCTATGCAAATCAACCTGTCAAGGACAACACACGATAGGTCCTATAGAATCCGACGGATGCCCTTCGTGTGAATGCAACACCATGTCAGGTTTAATGAGCTTTATTTCTCTTTTATTCTTCAAAATATTATTGGCTATCATTAAGGTATTATATGCATAGTTCGATTTTCGATTGTTATTTAAAAAAAAAAAACAGAGGCTTTTCTTTAATTTTAAAAAAAGGTTAAAAATAAGGATTATAAGTTGAAATGAATATTAAATTAGTGTTTTCCTCAATTTCAGGGTATTTTTTACCTTATCAAATAAGTTCCTTCACTTAAGGAAACTTTCTTATAGCCATTCATATATTTAGAATTTTTAAAATGTTAATGAATGTCGTTGTCTTAATCATTTAACAAAGGATGAGGTGACATAACTGCTATCTGGGGCCCCTTTTTCCATGACGAATTATGTTTAATCTACAAAGATGTTGGTAGTTTTCAAATATGAGTGAATAAATACGAAGCCTTTTGAATAGTTTCAATAGTTCAGACACATCTTAATTATAAGGAATACTGCATTATCTTTGATTTTTAAGACCCTATCACAGCTAAATTCGGCAAGGTTTGTGCAAATATTTTGTTTTATGGCAAGAGAATGGGCGGGTCTTAGTACAATAGAGGGATATGCGTGTTCGAGAAGACCTTATATGGGTATTGTTATTATTTCGCACTTAGTCATTGTCCAATCCGATGACAGAACAACAAAACATGCTGGTTTACTACGTTTACATTTTATCGCAGACACGTGGTTTTGGTCAATTTACCTGTTGTCCTTTTCTACATTTCAAACTTTTATAAATCTCAGCTAATGCTCTTTATACTAAATAATACACATGGATTTTTGGTATTTACGGTTTTTAGGACTAGAAATGCACATGAAACTAGTATTCACCGATACTCGGGAATACGTTTAGACCTAGCGAATTGCTCACCAAACACGCTACAAAACTTTAAACTAATGTATACATATCATGTATATTCTATCAATTGTTCGTAACTGTATATAAATTTTACTGTGGTCTCGGAAATGGTACATATGTAGATCCGTGTCTAATCTGTGACTCAAATGCATAAAAAAAATATCGGAAAGCAGTAAACTTCCAAGCATGTTTCCATAGTATTTTTGTGGAATTCACTCGTAACGAATTTCATTTAGCTGATTGGTCAGTTAGAAAGAATCGCCTGTGCCTCGATTAGCATATGAATTCATTATTACGTCAGAAAATCTAGTTCCGTCGATCTGTTTATAATGGAAAAGGCCAACCAGATTTTATAATTTTTTTAAAATTAACATGTGAGCGCAGTTAGGTACAATTTTCTCCTTTCACATATAGGTAGGTTTCAATAAAATACAGTGACCAGCCAAAGGAGAAAATTGTACCTATCTGCGCTCGTATATTTTAAGGGCTTCAAAGAGTGGGGCGGGGTTAAAATGCAATGGGAATTGAATGTAAACATGATACCCCTACCCCAATAAAAGATCTATATCTTTCAAATCACGTTTCTATTTTTGTTAAAAATTGTATTCTATAAATGTAAAAATATCATTGATTAGTTACATACAAAAATTTGAGTAAAATTTAAACATTTAATTTTTTGTCAATATACGAGGGGCCGCAAGTCACCTCATCCTTTACTAAATATACACCCAGGATCTATGAGTGGTGGATCAGGTGTAGGCGGTGGGTCAGTTGGAGCTGGTGGCGGATTCACAGGGTGTTCTAGTCCCTTTAGCGTATCTAGTATTTCTGGTGGCGGATCCACAGCTGTAAGTGGTGGGTCTTCTACTATTGGCGGATCAAGTTTTATAGGTGGTGGTGGAGGGAACAGTGGGATCTGCCCCTCTGTTGGTGTATCAACTGGAACTAACACTCAAACTACGTACGTCGTAGCGCCGACAAAAGAGTGCCAAACAGAACAGATTTGTCTAGAAAGGTGCGGATCAAACTACCAGATTGGGGAAACAGGAAAAGATGGCTGTGGGACGTGTATATGTACAAAGCCCTCTGTAACATACAGTGAGTGGGATCTTTTGATCGCTTTAATTATTGTTTTTAAAATAAATTCTACATTGTAAATCTAAATTGAATATCATTCTAATTACTTCTGTTGTTAATTCTTTCCAAGCACTGCAATACTCAGTCTTATAAACAAGCATATAATTAATTACAACTATCATACACTTACTCACTATAAACGTCCTCCAGTACATGTTTTATTTTTTACTTGCTACGAAAACCTACCGAGTTATATTTAACATTGTGATTTTTATGTAGTTCAACAGGTCTTGACCTTGACATGTCCTAGCCTGACCTGTAATTATGGCTGCAGTGTGGGATATAAATGTG